CCTTACTGATCACAGCTGCATCTCTCCTGCCTGGTCCACAGACTCACTGAGGCCCTGGAACACAGATACTGTACACACACACACCCTTACTGATCACAGCTACAGCTCTGGTTCAGAGAATGTTGCTGCCTGTGTGCGAGTTTCCCCCCAGCCCCCTTCTCTGTTTGAAAATCGCCTCGTTGGCCAGCACTTTGTCTTCTCTCTCCGTCTCTCTTCCAGATCTCGAAGAGGCAGGGGATGAAGGCGGACACGGGGGCTCTCATGGCTCTCTGCGAGAAGACCGACAACGATATCCGTTCCTGCATCAACACGCTGCAGGTGAGGGGCCCGCGCACCGCGCTGGAGCTCGCCAACGCGGCAGTCGCCCTGCCAGCTGGGGTGACCGCCGACGCCCGCGGAACAAATGACTCGTGCTTCTGCGGAGGAATGAGAGAGCGGGCACCGTGGTTCATTGGGAGTTTTCCCATTTGTCCCGTAATCTTACTGATGTGACCGAGCCTTGACGAGACAACCACGCGTCCGGTCTCTCCGAGCTGTTTCCTCTTTCCGTTTCGAATGCCTAATAGCCTCTGGTATATGCAGGATTTCCTGCAGGGAGAAGCTCAGGCCGGGTCGTACCAGCTGACGAAACGTGGTACGTTAGCTTTAGCCATACGTTGGTATATTTTCTTGTATTCAAGTACAGCGAACACACTGGTCAATTAAGGGAATCGCGAGTCCCTGCAACAATCTCAAAATTTCGCATTCATTACTTCATTTTTTTAAATCAGCCTAGGCTTGGTGTCAATGGGTCTACATGAGCTTTTCAGACCAAAGCGTGACACTTAAGAGCTGTGGAATTAGGTGCCATCGCGGCTACTGGCTGGCGGCTGATCTTGCGGTGAAGCGCTAACAAACAGTGTTTCAGTATGGGTTCTTTTGTACATGTTGTCGGCGGTCACGCAATTTGTTTGACTAGGGGCCCTGCGTGGCTTGCATCTAACTGCAGGAGACCTGGGTGTGTGTTGTCAGTTTTTTTTTATTAAGCACAGAAGCCCCTTCACACTGTCCTCTCCCCCACCGTTAAATGCCTCTACTCTGCATTCCCACCCTGTTCACGGTCTGTCCCAGAATCCCCGCTCTTAGCTGGAGAAGGTTCGTTGAACAAATGAGCTTGTTTTGGTTGCCTGGTTTTCATCGAGACATTTAGTTTGGGGCTCCAGATGGTTCCCCCCCTCAAAAACTGTAGTTTAAAAATCTGAAAAAACAAAGTTGTTAACTGAAGTAGGATAGAGACGATTTATATTCTTCAGTCCCATGAAGGATCTGACAACAGCTCCGTTTGCCTCTTTTTCTTTTCTTGCAGTTTCTTTGATTTAACTGGGGGGGCATTTGAAGTGGATTTTGAAATGGCTTGGACGCAGGTCTGAAATCCGGCCTTTTGAGTTCGATATTCATTTGGCTTTTATATTTGTGCGCTGTCGCGCAGTTTCTGCATGGCCGTGGGCGAAGGCAGCTGGACCAGCGGATGGTGCAGTCCATGACAATCGGGCTGAAGGACCAGAATAAGGGGCTGTTCTCCGTGTGGCAGGAGATCTTCCAGCTGCCCAGAGTCAAGAGGTACGCAACCCGAAATGGGGAGTCTGGGGCTCGGCTCGGGCGAGCTCGGTGAAGAGCTGGAGCGTGTGAGTACAAGCTTTTGTGTCTGTGTTTATATGTTCATGTGACTTGGGGCTTTTCCTGAACGGATGACCGCTACCTCTCTTTGCCATTCTGCCGGTAGTTCTTCACTATAAAAAACACATGGTGCTAAACTGGTAGCTCTGATGGGCTCCCAGTTCTGTCAGAGAGTCACCTGCTGACTGGCATTTAAAAAAAATAAGCCCATCCTTTCAGTATGGAATATTACAAAGATAATGTAAAAGTTTAGCAGAGTTGAGGGAACGGTTAAGACTCTGGACTCCAGACCAGAGGGCTGTGGGTTTAAATTCCAAGTGAGGCATTTCTGTGGTAGCTTTGAGAGAGCTGTTTCCCTCAGACTGCTCCTGTAAATGCCCTGATTTGGAAATTCAGTCTACAGGTCCATTATCATAATGAGAATTTGATTTCTGTTGACTTCCTTGTTAAGATGAATGAATAAAAATATTTGAGGGATAAGATGACTTGCTTACGTTTAACATCATCACAAAGAATTGCTTTTTGACATGTTGCAGACAAGACTTTGGTGCCGGACCATTAAAGTGTAAGTAGGAGACGAGGCCAACAGGCGTGTTGAGTTACTTGTCTTGAACAGGTGCTGGGACACTGGAACTGCAGGTCAGCACTGGGCGGTGTGCAAGTGTTGTGTAACACTGGGCACTAATCCCTGGGCTCTCTGGGTGCAGCTGCACACATCTGGCAGGTTGAATAAAGAGTTACATAATACAGGGCCTGGAGGTTGTGATTCTAACACTGCACCTGCTCCTGTCTGGCCCCTCAGTGAGTTATTGATCGTCGTCGTGCAGCTCTCCTAGAGAGGCAGAAGGCACTTCTGTTTCATGTTCCAGATGTGCTCTATGTGGTTTGATTGAGTGAGGCAAGTGCTTGGCTGAGCTTTTCCAGGGCTCCTACAGCTGATGGTTCCTGTAACAGAGTTGCTGCGTAAAACTGGAAGCAAGCGCTTTCTGCCATGTTTTCCTCAAGGATCGACCGATCTCCTCAGCCTGTCGGGTTGAGAGCCTGTATCCCAGTTCTAACTGCCCAGAAGGCCTTGACTTCAGGCACCATATTTAAAAAAAAACAACCTAATCTGCATCTTATACAAAGAAATAGTTGATCATCCTTTCCTTCTGTCTTAAAATAAACCTGGTGCATGTTTAGGATAGCTAGGAAGTACTTGGCTCAAGCAAACACTAAAAATGAAAGGAACCCTTTCACTTCAAGACAGACTTAAACAAGGTGTCAACTTTGGGAGTATTATACAAAAATGGTGACCTCCAGCAAATTGCATGTTTTAGAAAACCTTGATATAACCGATAAGCATATCTCATATTGCCTGGCTTGTACTTTTTTATAGTGGGGAGATTATTTTACAAGGGAACATTTTCCAGACCCTTACAGACTAGTGTTTACAGACCCTTAGTTTCAGACGTGAGAGTGTATTTGGTGGTGATAAAAAAAAAAAAGCCTGAAAAGGCCGTTTCTGTGTATGTTTTTTGGTTTATAAGTGCGTGCCGAAACATGCTTTCCGGTGTATTGTAGCATTGCTGGTCTTGCAGGGAGCCAGAGAACATTAGACTGATTGACTGGGGTTTTTGTTAGGTGCCGCCATCTTGAACGTGGGACACATTATGCGGTTAGTTTCCTACCGGATAGTGCCTGCAGCTCTGTGTTTTGTGTTTGGCATTTGGCGCACAATGTTTATTCTTTCCTTTTGCTTGAGAAGAACGCCGACGCCCCCGCCAGCCTTCTGAAAGTTTCTTTCTTGGTTGTCGGAGGGTTGCGAGTCGATCTTTTTCTCTTTCCCCTGGGCGGGCCAGGTCTGTGACCGTTGCTGTGGGCTGTGTTGCAGGAAGAGGGCTGGCCAGGAGCTGTCCGTGGGCCTGGAGGAGGGCTCTGGGCCGGGCAACGCCAACTCCACACAGAGACTGCCGCACATCTTGCATCTGGCCTCTTCCGCGGGCGAGCACGAGAAAGTCGCGCAGGTACGAGACTGCAGCGCCTGCGCTGGGCCTGAGAGACGGAGAGAACTGAGGGACCGGGCAGGGCCATAGAGCACCGTCAGACGAGCGAAATTCTGGAGTCCGAGAAGGCAGCTGCCACACTCTCCTCCTTTAGCTTTCCCTCGTCAAACTCTCTCTCTCCGCTTAATCTCTCTCTGCAGGGGCTGTACGACAACTTCCTCAATATGAAGCTGAAGGACCCCAGCCTGCGGGGAATATGCGCGGGGCTGGAGTGGCTGGGCTTCACGGACCTGCTGGCCGAGACCATGATGCACGGCCAGAACTTCTCCCTCATGAGATACCTGCCCTTCCTGCCTGCTGCCTTCCACCTGCTCTTTGCAGCCAACAACGTGCCCCGCATTGCCTACCCCAACAGCCAGTACGAGGTGACTTAACCGGGCCACTCTGAGCTCTAGGCTGGGGTTTAGTGTTAAGCCGATCCCCTGCCTCAGTTTGAACAGCCTTGCCTGCTGCCTGTAGCAGACTCCCCTGCAGTCTGATAACCAGGGTTTAGGCCAGGCTTCTGCAGCTGTGGTGCTGAAGAGCCACAGTCCTGCAGGTTTTATAAATACATTAACGTGGATCTGGAAAGCATAGTTTAGCAGCTAATTAATCTAATGAGTTCTAAAGTTGTTCACTCCGCTGAAATGAAAACCAGAGTACTTTACCTTCTGATCCAGGGCTGTAGGCACTTGATCTGTGCTCTAGTCTAGAACATGAAAAGATCATCAGAGTAGCCTGTATGGCCACATTGCCATTCTTTCTGTGCCCAGGGAAGGCGTTTTCCATTTATCCCGCTCTTTATCAGCATGGTTGGGCCTTTCCTGTTACTGACAGTGACTGATGCTTCTCTTTCTGCCTGAATTTGGATTCCATATTCGTTATAGCTCCAGAGTCACTGGAAATGGAGGGAACTGTGACAGTGTCCCTTGCTGCATCTGAATAACCGTATTGTGGGTCCGTTTTATGAAATAAAATTCAAGGATCCTTTTTTTGTCTCTGGAAGGATTTGACCAGTTCTGCGTTGCTGCCTGTTCTGAACTGAGACCAAGAGTTCTTCTGTGTTCACATGAGATGAAAGGGGTATTGAGTGGCGAAGCAAAAGCAGAGACAAAAATGGACATAGGTTCTCCAAGGGCAACGTCCCAGTTCATGGTACCCAAGCAACTTATGGAATTAAGTGAAGCTCTCCCTTCGCTTGAAATGGTTAAACCAGAAATGCGAGCTAGGAAGAACTGAAAAAAAGTATTGACTCTCCTGCTCAAACTACTTAAGGAATGAGGAGAGCAATAAACAGGTCAGCCCGTCTTCTTCTGTCTGAGTCTGCAGCTGAGACTAATGTTCCGTCTCGAAAGGCAGTGGAGCAGATATAACACCTCGTCCTGACTCTGCGCCTCTCAGCTGTGACAGCAGGTCCTCTCTGCACAGATCGAGGCCACGAGTTATTTTAGGAACGCTTGATATCTAAATATATGAGGCCGTTTTATTCATTGTGTCAAATGGTGGAGAAGATTCAGAGCTGGAATGATTTTTGTGTTATACAGTGGTCCTTTGCCCGAGTCCTTGAACGCGAATGCTAAATGTTACAGATTAAAGGATAGGGAGGGGCGTGTTGGAAATTAAGAAAGTCCACTTAACGTGGTGCATTGTAATCGTGATGAGTGTCAAAAGCTGCTGTTTCCAGTCCTGTGGTGTCGGAGTACTGATTTGCTTCCATGCGTGTGATGACTGGCCCCAGCTTGTCCGTCCTCAGCCCCCTGTCTCTCTGCCCCTCTCCTCAGGCCCAGGCCCGAACCCAGCAGACCAAGAACGTGCTGACGGCCATGCTGGCCGACATCCACCCCGTCATCCGCAGTCGCACGGGCCTGCACGCCCTGTCCCTGGACATCCTCAGCCTCCTGCTGGACGTCATCTGCCCCAGGCTGAGGCCGGTACGGCTGTCCCTGCCGTGTGTCCCTGCCGTGTGTCCCTGCCGTGTGTCCCTGCCGTGTGTCCCTGCCGTGTGTCCCTGCCGTGTGTCCCTGCCGTGTGTCCGGTTTGAGCACCAGTTTGAGACGCTACAGATGAGAGTTACCTAGTCGACGCTACAATATAGGAGGCAAAGTCAAATGTGGTTCAGCAAATTGACCGAAGACGGTCCTTTGAACCATTTTCTTATGTCCATTATTAAAACTACTGTTAGCCTAGCTTTCTGATTAACGAAATGAGAGTAAACAATTTCTGGCTACAAAGCCGCCTCCCGTGTTGCATTATAAATCCCGACCTGAAACCTCACATGTGACGCAGGGCCCAGCTACGTTTTTTTTACATTCGTCATGACAGAAAAAGAAAATTTGATTGAAACAATCAGTTACATAAATATTTCTAAAAAAATATACAAAATTTGTTTTTCCCACTTTATTAGAAAATTCTTTTTTCGGGGGGGGCATGTTAGCCCCCTAATGCCCCCCCCTCCCCTTAGAGACGTGGCTGTCTCTGTGCTGTCCTGCCCTGCTGAGCTGCTGCCCAACCATGTGATTTATTTTCCAACCTCCACCCCCCCCGCCCCCCAGCTGTGCCCTCACCTCATTCTTGGGGTCGCCCCCGTTGTGCTGCTCACCTCTCCACAGCCCCCCCTTAGGGACGAACAGAGCCGGCCCCGGGCTGCATTTCCACACAGCCTGAACTCTGCTCTTGGTTTCGTCTCCATGCCCTTCTGCCGTTGAATAATCCTGCACGTTGGCCATTTGTGCAGCACGGGATCAGTTAAAGGAGCTCGGAGCCCGAGTATCCCGACTCTTCACCTCGGCCGTGAAACTTTAATGAGATTTGAACGGGGGTGGGAAACGGATGCGGCACCTGTAAAGGCAGATTACAGACCGCAGAAGGAGGTCATCTTAATTCAATTACGGCCGGCTCGCTCCTCCGCCCGTCCCATGCGGAGTAATTAAAACTCCGCCGTTCCACACTGCGGATTGAGCCCATCCTCCTCGCACGAGGAAGCTGGGAGTGAAGGAGAGTGGGCGGCCTGCTTGCTAACCTACATATCCAGTCCCCAGACTTTGTTTTTATTTTTTAATCACTGCTCCTGCCATGGTAATTAGAAAGCACTTACCTTTTTAATTATCTATTGCACGGCGACATAGGATTGCCTGCCTGCATTCCACAAGGGGAGGCTGCCTGGTTGAAAAGGAGGACAGGCGTCATTTAACAGGAGGGGGTTGATGGGGCTGCTGGAGCCGGTTTTACGCAGCGGCCTGCATGAAGTATTAATAAACCTTTTCCAGCATATTTCTCCTGTGATTGCGTTTTTCGCTTCGGAGACTCCTCATCAAGTGCGCCTGCTTACAAGGCTGCTGCGACTGTGCTCCCCACAGATTGTTCTGCGTTCTACACTGGGGCCGAGCAGTGGCTCTGTGGGTCAGGATCTGCGGCTGTGACTGGGAGGTTGCCGGTTCAAATCCCGCAGCCGGCAGAGGAATCCTACTCCGTTGGGCCCCTGAGCAAGGCCCTTAACCCCAGCTGCTCCAGGGGCGCTGTACAATGGCTGACCCTGTGCTCTGAGCCCAAGCTTCTCTCCCTGTCCTGTGTCTCATAGAGAGCAAACTGGGGTATGCGGTTTTATTTTGGAGGATTGTGGGTAAGACAATGCCTCCGTAGCCATGGGTGACGAAGGGTGTCAGGACGATTAGTTCTGCCTGCTCTCACAGAAAGAAATAAGAAGATCGAGACCAGTTTCCAAGAGACACAGTCTTTCCATTTCTCTCTCTTTTTGGGTCTACTTCTCTTTTCTTCTCTCGGATTTTCTTTCCTCACGTTCTCAGTGGCTTAGCTGACTGAGATGTCTCTCCCTCCCTCTCTCTCCCTTCCCCTGCCCACCTGTGCTCAGCGAGGCGAGGCGCCGGCAGTGTGATTGCTGAAGGACTCCCGAGTTAATTGTTTTAAGACCTCCGACGCTGCCGCTATGATCCGCTGCTTGAGAGAGCGGCCGTTCTGAGCGGGCTAGCGCACGACCACCCCTGCTGCCAGAAATGACCTTTTCAAGAGCCTTTCGAAGTTGTTTGTGGGTTTAAAAGAAGCTTCAGATGGCGACACAAGGGACAAAGCAAGCTGCAGATCTTGTCGTTCTGCGCCCACCTCGCCTTTAGTCATTAACTCGGCGTCTCTGTAGGAGGATGAAGTGGTTGTACTCGGAGGTTTTGGACCGTAATAAAATGTCATTGGCAGAGTGTGATAAGCAATGTTGGAGCCCACTGAGCTGGTTAGCTGGCAGGTTCAGCGCCGCTGGATGTCCCCGTCTTATATGTGTATAGAACTGTTGAGTTCGCAACAAAAGAGAAAATTGTCATGTTGTGGAAGTTGGTGTGTTTTCTTTTATTTGGAGGAGAGCGAGGTTAAAGAGAAAAAAGTTTTGGTTTACCCTGTTGTTAAGGGGGGGGCTGGGTGCGTTTGTGGGGTCACCCATGTGCGTCCTCTCCCTCCCCAGGTGAACCCCCAGCTGTACAGCGCGCGGGAGAGGCAGCAGCTCCTGGAGCTGATCGACACCATGCTGTCCTATAACCTCACCTACCTGCAGAGCCGCACCCCCGAGGGGCAGTACATCTACGCGCTCGAGCCGTGAGTACTGCACCACTGCGCACTTGTGCGGAGCCTTGCACGCCTTGCACGCCTTGCACGCCTTGCACGCCTTGCACGCTGTCACACTCGTCACGCCGGGTTACACTGCCCGCCACCCGCGTGTCGCTCCTGAGCAGAGCTGTCGCCACGTGGCTGGTAATCGCTCGAAAACGACACTAGCTGGCTGCATTGCTGAGAGCGCACTTCAGCTGAACTGTGGTGATGCGTGGCTTAAAAGGGAAATGAACTACATGTTCATTAAGCACCAAGCCCCTCACTTCTGCGCAGATCTGTGGGGTATCATGGTTCCCACCTGCTGAAATCCGGGCGGAGGCAGCCCAGCTCGGATAAAGTGTCTGCAGGTGTGGACTTAAACGATTTTCCTAGTACTTCTATTGCGCAACTGTATAGTACTAACGCCTTAATTCATCTGAATCTTCCACGGCTATAATACGTTAAAAGGGCTCTTGATGAATGGCGTTCCGTTCGTTTTTCGAGCTGCAGAGTGTGTTGATTTTTGAAAAGGCTCATCGGGAGGGAGGTTGCGTACGATGTCCACTAGTGGGCAGCCAGGGGCGGTGAGCTCTGAGTCACGAAGAGAACCAGGCTGTAATTACTGTGGCTACCCCTGGTTGTACTGAGAGGCTGGATCATAACGACCAGCCCAATAAGCATCGGCTTTGGTTGGACCAGAGCGTAGGATTTGATCGCGCTCTAAATGCAAACACCTTAGGAGTTTTCCCCCCCCCCTCATGGCAAAGTATTAAAGAGATGTGTCATTTTGAGTCATCTGAGCACTGGTTGAGTGTAGATCAAGGGTTTGAGTTGGGGGCATGAAACCAGCCAGCTGGTGACTGGGATTCCTCAAGCAGAGAGGGGAGGGTGAGATTCGTCAGCCAGGCTGCTCTGGGCTTTCTCTACAGCCTCCTGGGTGCTTGCAGGCTCTGGCCTGGGACAGTGGTGCCTGGGACACATTAGAGCACAAAGCAAAATAAGTACTAATCTTGCCAAGAGCAGGACCATAGTAGATATGCCGCTGATGCCTGTAATTGTTGGCTATCTCTCGCAGGCGAGAGTTGTCCGTACACCTGAAAGTCACTGATCAGACCCACGGGAAGCGCACTCTCTCCTGTAGAATGAACAGGCACGGTCTTCTGCTGAAATCTGACTCTGGCCTGGGGTCAGTACTCCCGACCCAGCTCGAGGGAATTTTAAGCAGACACCTGCTGTTGTACGCGACGCCTCGGAAATACAGGAGCTGAAACGCAGGGTAACATCATCAGGAATAGCCACTAGGCCATAAGGGGAGTAGTCACTCTTAACCCACATTCATGGTACGGAGCAGAGCTGGACTATAAAGCCCTCTGTGACACTGTTGGAATTTGGGATACTGTGGGAAATACAGCTCGTGTGCATCTCCTGCTGTGTTCTCTGGAAATCGCCCTTTTCGTCTCATTGGACTGCCCTGTGACTCCTTGCATTCTTTTGCATGAGAGAGATCAGACACAGTCTGCCAACACTGGGTTTGCTGCTTCTCTAAAATCTTCCTTAGGCAGTGTCTGACCATATCGTTCCAGTCCTTTTTAGTGTCCCCTGTATTCCTGTTACTGGTAAGACCAGGTAATATCATTCCGTATTAACACGTATTCTATTTAGGAGAGCTTGTTTAGATTGGTGGTCAACTGCACAGAGCTCCTGCTCGGTCACTCTTCTCAGTTCGGTGATGGCTGGCTGCTGGGGAACCAGTCACTAATCTCCCCCCCACCCTGCTGCAGCTCTTCAGACAGAACTGGCAAGTTTATTTTCCACAGGGGAGCGCAGCTGGTCGACAGCTCCGGGGTGAGGCAGGGACGGCCGATGAAGTCTTTCATTTCACTCCTGCTTGGGCGGGTTTCGGCTTTGCAACACATTTTAATATACACAAATACCTACTGCCAAAATCCGAACTGACCCTGGTGTCTGCAGTTGCCTGATTTGCACAAATTCCGACTTGGCTCAAAGCGCTAATCGCAAAAGGCCCTGAGAAACGCAGGGTCGGTGAGGAGAGAGGGATGATGTGTTTTGTTTGTACAGCAGGACAGATGTGCTGGGGATGAGTACCTTTCTTTAAATAACCCAGACGTTCTCTAAAGATCTGTATATAAACAAATTAAATCCGCTAGGGCTGGATGTCCAAATGTTTTGGGTTTTTTTTTTTCTTGGCTTGTGTCGGCGTGCCCTGGGGTTGAAGGTTAAAGGGACATCTGAGGCAGGCGGGTCAGGTTTCTGAGGGGGCAGTGTTACGAGAGGAACGCAGGGTGAGGATCCTGGGATTGGTTTTCGAACCTCCGTTGGGCCACTCTGTCTGGGTGTGCAAAGCCCAGCTCTGGGAGAACAGGGTTCAGGATGGTGGAGTTCTCCTGGAGTGCAGGGTTCGGATCTGTCCATCTTTTTGAGCTCAAGAGAGACCCTTTCTCTCCTGGTCCTTCCTCACAGGAAGGCGTGTTAACTTCCTGTGTCACCATAATGGCTGTGGATGGAAACTGCACAGCCCACTCGTTAGGGGGCTTACCTCATCGAGTTTGGCATCAAATGACATGCAGTTATTTTCGCCGAACCCCGAAAGCCAGGTTATCCAACAGATGCGTGCATCCGCCATTTCGTAATCCCGACGGCCCATATATAAATTGCTATTTCTGTCGGGGCAGGATGCGGACGTGGCACGGAGCTTAGGATTTTAACAGTCCGTCTCCTGACGGGGAATCGTGTAACAGGAGAGGGGCGACGCGGCGCCCAGGCCTCACCTTGGCGTTTGTTTTCCTCTTTCCCAAGGTTATCCAAGTAAACCTCCATGCTCCAATCCCGCTTGCTTTCGTTCCCCAGCGAGGCTTAATGACGTGTCTTAATATCCAGAGGATTTGTTCTTTTTTTTAATATTCTTTTCGGCTTTTTTTAATATTCATTTTCTTTCTTAACATCCTACCCTCCCCCCCCCCCCCCCGGCGCGATATTGGTGTGGCTGTGGGCAGCGTGTGCACTGTGGGAGACAGTCGCTGGAGTGAGCAGAGGGTCACACACGCGGAGCACAGCTGGCTCAGGGAATCCACTTTCTCCCGGCCTGTCGCCACCGGCGCTGCTGAGAGAAGCGTCTTCCACACGTCCCCGGAGCTCGAACTTTCAGGAAGAGCTACAAACTGCACAGGACCCCGAAACCGGGCCTGAGAGACGCAAGACCAGGGCCTCCTACCTTAAGGGCCGCCTGCCAGAGGCAAGGGAAGGGGTCACCTGCTGAGGAAGCCCGAGGAGAAAGCTTTGCGGGTGTGACGATCTGCTGCGCGCGGGCGCCACTGCCACCCGGTGCCCGTGCCCACCTCCTCTTTGGCACAATGCAGCAGTCGATGCTCCAGGCACGCTGCCAGGAGACCATCGTAATCTCCGACTGGGGGATCCCTCTGGTCATCGCCCTCCTGCTCCTGTGGCTCGTCTACGGCTTCGTCTACCTGCCGGCCGCCCTTCAGAGAGCCCTGCTGGACGGAGCCCCGGCCAACACCACGGAGGGCATCGCCTTCCCCTACAGCCAGGACGACTGACCAGGAACCAAGGAGGTGGCCGCGCCGGCCCGCTCCACGCACAAGATTGGCGGATGAGTTCCTCGTCATTATCTGGTGCTCATTTCACATCCCTTCCACCTGGTCTTCTTGAGTTCTTGAGGCGCGCCAGACGAGAGAGGAAAGACCCCCGTGTGCGTCTTGGCGCACAGAATGCGCGCGCTTAGCTGGAGCTCACCCTTTTCTCCGCTTTCCAGTTTCCAGCCTCTCTCTTTTTACAGTCCCACTCTTTCAGCTGTGCCGTTACGGCATTTGGCTGCCAGGTGCGCGCTGGACGGCGGTGGAGAAGAAACGCTTCTTCGTGTTTCGCGTTTTTTTATTTTGGGTTTCCTGCGCGTCTCCTGCTTTGTGAGCTGTCCTAGCGGGGCTGTTGCTGTGAGGGGTCTGACGCATCCTACCCTCTCCTCTCGGGATGGTTGAGAAGCCCCTGGGTTCAGGGTGGGGCTCGTTCACTGCAGGGGAACCCTTCCAGTTGTTGTTGAAGACAGCCGCGGGTCCTGGAGAGCCGGAGGTTCAGCTGCGCTGTATTTGATTGCAAACCGCGTCTCTGCGCCGTGACGAAAGGAGACGATCAGGGTGGCTGTGTTCTGTACCCTCACTGTCCGCATTCTGCATCCTCACAGCTCTCGTCTGTCCTGGTCCTTAACATGCGTTAATACTTAGTGCGATCACTCTGAGTAGAACTTTTTAAAGAGTAAGCTAAAAGCT